TTAAATATATTAATAAACGCCGTAAATATAAACAATACATAATCTTTTCCGATTCTCTTTCGTGTCTTCAGGCTGTTAAAAATCTTTCTTATAAACATCCACTTTTATTAGAAATTATTGAATTATATAATGAGCTTGATTACAAAGCTAGCATTAGAACTTACATCCGTGATCTGATGCAAAAGAAGTGTGACACACAGGTAGGTATCAATAAATTACATGCAATAAAACCCTATATCGGTTACACCTACTTGGGTTGTCAGTCCAGATTTGACGATGTCGCATTGGCCATACTAGATATACTCACGAATATTTATTGAAAGGCGAAGATACCCCGTTTTGTATCCCTTGTGATGAAAGAATCACGGTCAAGCATGTCCTGCTTGACTGTGTTGAATATTCCATCACAAGGGATAACTATTTCAAATTACGAACCATGAAGGATCATTTAATTATTGCATTTTTAAAGAAAGTAGACTTGCTAAATGATTTGTAAATAGATAAATATTTTATAATTGGAAGTTTAAATTAGTAACTCAGATTGTTAGTGGCTGTTGTGGCATATTGTGTATTTCAAATACAGTCAAATCCCGATGAGTCGAATGTCGGTGTCTCGAATATTATGCATAACTAGAAGTACCTGTCGGTCCCGACCATTCCCTGTTATAGTTGTCATCATTTGAATACCGGTTACACGAATTCGTCTCATAAATACACACGATGACTCGAGAAGGAAATTTGGTCCCATGAGATTCAAACAACAGCAATCTTGTATACATAAGCCGAAGTCAGTCGATGAGAAGTTGATTGCAAACTGATCCAAGTAACAAACCGGCGCGGCTCACACCTTTCCGCCATTGACGGGTGAGTTCAAAAGGCAGATTAGTGATTTTACGGAAATCACTGTCTGTGCTAATCAGACTGGAACTGATAAGGTGCCCCTATTAGTGATATGGAAATCATTAGATAAACAAATGCTTAGGCGGCGGAATTAGGACTGGATCATCTTTTTTTCTGCCCTCTCGAATACATTGATAAGTCGAATTTATTACTTGGTCCCCAGCGATTCGACTCATCGGGATTTGACTGTAGTTGTTATGATGTCAGCGAACATCCTATTTACTAAAAACAAAATCTTCCATCTGTGTCCTGGAGTATATCCATCCTGTTGTTGACACAGAGTGTTCCGACGGCTACTATGGTGACAATTGTGCTTCGACATGTGTGTTTTATGTTCGTGTGATCGGGAAAGAGTGTACGAAGTGGGCATACATATTGTAAACATGGCCGGACGCACTCGTTTTCTTACAGGTGTGACAGTAACTAATCACAGTTAAAACTGAGTCGCCATTTTAGGCTAATCCCATTAATCCAAACTCACAGAAAATACTTTCATCATTCGATCCTCACTCATCATTTATGGAGTGTATCTGAATATGCAGTTGGATGCGTGATGTTCACCATGCCAGCATTCATCGGACGATAATGTTGTCGTGTACAGGAAAGCTGAATTCAGGAGGACAAAAGACAGAGACTTTAAACATAAGATTTGGAAGCAATCAACAATGAACGTTTCTTCTGACTCGTACCTTAGCGAGAACTTACGACGCTTGTTTTGACCCATCGTGTCTCCAAGGATCAGCCGGACCAAATACAAGCTGTGCAGACGAGAGTGGTCGTTGTTAGACGATCTCGTTGTTGCTATGCATTTTCGGCCATTCATTCCTCCTCCTTTGTCCGTCCACAGTACTTTCAGCCTCCGAAGGTCAAGGGAAGAGTTCCTCCGCAACGCATGCTTGTTGTAAGAGGTAACTAACGGGATCTGTAGTGTAGGCTTGACACATGTCATCATATCGCTGGAATATTTCTGAGTGTGGCGTTAGACAACATACAATAAAAAACTCCAGTGTTCTAAGATCATCGTATACAAGACACTCAATTATCATCCGCTAGTTGCATTTCCAGATGTTTCAAGCCACGTTCATCGCTCTGAAGAATGTTCAACGACCCAATCTTTCTACTATACGTCAACGTTCAACATCGCCTTCGTTCAGTTTTATGCCATCTCCTTCTCCTCGATTTCACTTGGAGTCGCTTAAACCTCCCTCAGAAGATGTGTCGAGCCCGGGTAGTCTGGAGGGTAACCTTGAGAGTACTGACACATTGAACATGCTGCCATGGATGATTGTTAGAAATGGATTCTTCCTTCTTTATCAAGAATCGGGATCTACTGTCACACTACTGCCCCTTCCGGTCATCGGGCAACTTCCAGATGCAGGGTTTAAGGAACTTTGAGAGTTCCAGATGGCATATTTTCTCTAAAGTTCTCCCACGTTTATTGGTTTGCTTCCACTGTCACATCAACTCCTATCGATGGGGACATCTACAACCTGCGTCCTGTGTGCTACAATTCTTCGCCACTTCTCATTGAGGACCGGAAATTGCTACATCTGCATACGACTTTCAGAATGGGTTTCCTGTTATTCATTTAATCCTTTCTGCTACTGAGTCTGTTTCGATTGCAGTAGCGCATGCATTTGCGGGATCCAAAGATGCATAGTTATCTTGAATTAACATGATTTTATTCTTACATTGGGTGGGTCATTTTCCTCTTGCAGTAGTTTACTAAGGTGTTTGAGTACAGTGGTCTTTGGTGACTACATCGTAGACTTTAGAGGTCATCCGTGTACAACGACGCCGAGATGATCCACACTCTCTGTCCTCTCTATCAATATTTACAGATTTACAATTGCAACTTTTTCATATCGAAAGACGAGACACGAGCTAACATGGCATTGCTACAAAAAAACCTGATGACACTGTGGTTTTCCAGACACTATTATATATATTGAACTCCTTGTTAGGGAGGTATTATATGCAGTTTAATAACTAGGTACAACAATCGGTATTGTCCCAAATTTTCCACTTAAATGTATGCTAATGGCACTATCCATGATATGGAATGTCCCTCACCACCTACCGTGTCTTGACTGTTTTTTGGTTGTTTACATGCCACCGTTTCATGACAGGAGTACGTTTGGTCGACATTCATAATGTCACCAGTACTCCCTAACTGCTGTTTAATTGCTCATCTTGAATATCAAGCTTGGAAATTCACTGACAAACGTATTTCGTCTCCTCATACGACCAGATGGATTGTACTTTTCATAGAGATAGACATCAAACTAACTGTACCAATGTACCATATGTGTGTAGATGATGTGTTGGTCTTATTTAAGGATTTGAACTGCATGGTGTGCTATTATTCTCAAAAGTATGTTACGTCTGGAACTCTTCCCGTTGATGTGAAATATTCGATCCACTTTGAATAATACTTACATACTGCTACAGCAGTAATGGCCCCTGCCCTCAGTTTAGTAAAGGGATTCTATTGTGTCAACGTTTGTTCTGGTGGCTCAACCACAGATATGGGGTATTCGGAAACTGATATCGTATTTGATACATGTGTAATAGGCTTCTCTGCCCAGTGACAGTTGAAGTTGGTTATTGTAGGGTTTAGGACCTTGCGTTGTGTACTGTTTTTAATGTGGTGATGGTAAAGTAGCCAACTTCAGGTAGGCTCTATGTGTCAGGCCTCATTGCTGGTAAAAACATAACGAATAGAAAAGAGGAACTCAATATATTTATTTACAAAAACTTAATACAGTGAAATTCTCACCCCCTGAACCTAACCTAAACTTACAACCTAACCTAGATTAACAACCTAACCTAATCTATACGTAACAACCTAACCTAACAACTTAACCTAACCCCAAACCCTAACGTCACATGGCTCTGATTTCCCAAAAAGATAAATTTATTAATTTCCTATGTAAAAGTCAATGAATGTAAAAATAATAACCCCCAAAAGCCTATCTACTTGGTCTGGATTACCAGCACTCAAGCCCCCGAAGTAAATGTCCTCACCTCTGGTGAAACAGTGTGCTAAAGACAAAGAGTACTGTGAAGCTACTCACTTTATAGGGCTAGAGGCAGGCAGTGCATGTGCTGCACATGCCAGGCAGACCACACCTACCTGCCGGGTGTGTTGTGGCTATGCATACCAGCATAGCCGAGAACACACTAATAACCCATGTTAGGTAAACCCAACCCCAAATACAACTAAAACCTTACCCAAAATATCCTAAACTACCACACATGTTTGAGAATGTCGTACATTAATATTTTATAATAATGTTTTATCAGTGACAACTCTTTTCTCAATAATTGTTATATAAAAATGTCAAAACCCTTTGAGAGAACCCAAACAATAATGTCTGTTTTGTAGTGTTATTAATTCGAAGTGCCTACAAAGAGCAACAAGTTCGCCGTTCATTTTTTCAACAGTGTACCAATCACACGTAACCACCCCCATCCCCACCCCCAAACAACAAAAAACAAAACAAAAAACAACAACACAACAACAACTAACAATCAAACAAACAAACATTCAACGAAATTGACAGTGATCGATACGTTGTAAAATTACCTACTCTCCGAGCCTAAGCGCCCGCGTCACAATATCACTTCTTACCATATCATGGCTATGACATTTTCTCTTTGTAAATAGAGATGTAATGAATACATATGTTTTGAAAAAAAAACATTTGGACTTTGCACTTGGGATGTTTATGAATGTAGACTTGATCTCGTCACTATATGGCTGGAATAATGTGACGTAAAGCCCAACTCAACTCAACAACTCCTACCATATCAGCCGTACAACAACCCGTAGAAAAATAGGTCTGTGCCAATAGATCTATGCGTGTCAAAAGCATGTGTATTTTGGATGCACCAACACTTCGTGGTCATCACCCACCGTGGTCGTATTGATGACTCAGCAACATGCAATTTATGGATATATGTATTCATGTGACATTTGGGATTCATGACAGTTTCAGGTATATTTGATCTTTAAAACCAGCCTGTTCGTGTTTGTGTCCAGCAACATTATGTTAAGTCAAGCCACATGTGAATGCTGTATTCTCCGCCCGTTCCAGAATGCATGACCGGCTATTACACGGACAGAGGAAACTGTGTACAGTGTGGAACAGGTTGTAAGCCGGGAACTTGTGAACGTGACACCGGGAACTGTACGTGTAAAGCTGGGTGGACAGGACCCAGATGTGCCACACGTGCGTTTTAGCCATTATACATCACTGTTGTCTTATATTCTATCATCTTGTGTGAGGTCTGATTTTAACAGCCAATGCACAGGGGTTCTGTGTGTGTCTGTGTGCGTACGCGCATGCATGTGTTTTTTATGGGCGTCTGTGCGTGTATTAATATATGTACCATCAGTATATACAATCAGTTGTATGTTGTTTATCACTGGCCTGTCTTGTGCAGACTCGATTATTTACATACCGCCGGCATATAGCTGGACTATTGCTGGGTGCAGCGTTAAACAACCAACCAACCACAGAGAGTTTACCATAAACATGTTGTGTTCGTGTATTTTATGCTAAATGCTTGTCCTGCCTTTCTTGTGCCGTTGGACATGTAGCCAGACGGTTGTGTTCAGAGTTTGAATTATGCTATAAATCATAAACAGTGCGATGTTTTCAGTATATCTGTCTCCCTGTTTACCACAGACATTTCATCATTTCTCGAATGTGTGTTTGCCTAATAGGATCAATTTCTATAAGGGTTTTCGTGCCACCTTCAGGTAAAACCTGTGTATGTTGATTACTATTATCGGAAAAGATTATTTTTATTAAAACTTTACCTTAAATGTATCTTCCTTTACGCATATTAGGGTCCCCTTGTAGTTTAACTCTGATCGTCACGGGGGAGACCCGGATGCAGCTCCATCGTTCTACAATTGAGTAATTGATTCTAATGCACTGAATTGGAGTTGTCGGGAATAAAATTTGGCTTTCTGACTCATGATTTGCCGATATAAAACAAGGGTCCAGACCCAGATGACCCATATGGGCGCCAATCGTGTTGCCAGAAAAATAAGATCCCTGTCAGATGTTTTGACTGAGTAGTATTAATCATATTCTTGCACTATTGGTGACATAATGTATTTCAAATAGGCACAGAGTGTCCTATCGGCTACTATGGTGCCAATTGTTCTTCGACATGTGTGTTTTATGTTCGTGTGATCCGAAAAGTGTGTACGAAGTGGACAGGCATACTGTAAACATGGTCGGACGCACTCGTTTTCCTACAGGTGTGACAGTAACTAATCACAGTTACAACTGAGACGAGACTTTAGGCCAATTCGATAAAATAAGAAGTTGGGTTGTTTTATGTTCAGACTATTGTTTTAGATCAGTCGGTAGACAACCTATGTACCAAAATCAATATCTTTAGTCTGTGTCCTAAAGAGTATCTTCTGTTTGTTAACACAGAGTGTCTTGGCGGCTACTATGGTGCCAACTGTGCTTCGACATGTTCCCCTGGATGTGTTTCATCTCCGTGTGATCAGGAAACCGGAAGGTGCTCGCAAAGTAGACAAGGTTACTGTAAACCTGGCTGGGCGCTCGGGTCTTATTACAGGTGTGAAAGTAAGTAATCACAGTTACAACTGATACAGTATTTCTGATAAGATAACCATTGCATGTAGACATTTGTGTAACCAACCCTTTTGTGGAGACCGTTTTCGTATTTTCAGACGGCTGTATCAGTTGAGTATAGTGTATGATTATCCAAATGACAATGTTTCTATTGGCGTTATTTATGTTTGTCATGATTATGTTAAATGGGAAGATTTGTCCACTAGAATGTTACGTCAAGTGGTAGCCATTATAAAGACAGTACACCAAACAGATCTTTCTTGTCGGACCAGGAAGATCACCTCCTGGGATAATTAATGTTCAAAGCATGGACACGTACGACGCATTGCCCAAGAAGTGGAAAGTTCTCTCAAACTGCAAGTAAACTGTTTCATCATTCGATCCTCACTCATCATCTATGGACAGTATCGGTATATGCAGTTGGAATGCGCGATGTTCATCATGCCAGCATTTAGTGGACGATACTGTTGCCGTGATTAGGAAAGTTGCATCCAGGAGGACAAAGGACAGCGACTCTAAACATAAATCCGAAGAGTTCAGGGCGATCTGCAATGAAGGCTCGACGATTTACTTAACGCTCCTTCCGACTCGTACCTTAGCGACAACTTACGACGCTTGTTTTGACGCCTCGTGTCTCCAAAGATCAGCCGAACTAAATACTCGTTGTTGCTACGTATTCTCGGCCATTCATTCCTCCTCCTTTTGTCCGTCTACAGTCCTTCCAGCCTCCCAAGGCCCAGGGAAGATCCGAGTTCTTCAGTAACGGAAGAGTTGACTAAGGTTTAGGCTTGAAACTTTGTCATCATATCCCAATTGCCACCATACAGCTGGAATATTTATACGTGCGGCGCTAAACAACATACGAACAAAAACTCCAGTCTTCTAAGACACTCAATCGTCCTTCCCTTGTTGGATTTCGCTCTGGAGAATGTTCAACAGCCCACTACTCGTTAACATTCAAGCTCTCTTTCTGTGAGTTGCCATCTCCTTCTCCTCGTTAGGAGTCGCTTAACCACCCTCAGATGATGTGTCGACGCTGGGTAGAGTTCAGGGTAATCTTGAGAGAACTGGCACGTTGAACATGCTGCCATGGATAGCCAACAAGCTGCAACTATCTATGGTCAGATCTGGATTCTTCCTTCTTCATCAAGGATCGGGATCTCCTGTCACACTACCGCCCCGTCCGGTCATCGGTCAACTGACTGCCTTCTCAGATACAGGATTTAAGGGATTTTGGGAGTTCGATATAGCATATTTTCTTTGAAGTTCTCTATAAATGTATCCAGACAGAATGGCATTCGGCACATTTGTCTCCTGTTTTACCACAGGCAATTCATTATTTTGAGGAGATATGTGTGGCTATAAAGACTAATTTATATACGGGGTTTTGTGTCACCTTTAGGTAAACCGGTGAAAGTTCATTATGATTAACGGAAATGTTTAATTTCATTAATGAGAACTATATTTCATATGTTAATTGGGTATTAGGGTACCCTTCTAGTTAGAACCTTGGTAAGAACAGCCTTTGAACTATCATTTGTTTGTTGTTCGCGTGTTTTCCAGCTCACACAATCTGTGCTCAACTGTTGTCGCTTCACGTCATGTTACCGAATAATAAGAGCCACGTCATACCAGGAGTGTTGTTATTTATTAGCCGACAGTAGCTTTATTATAGCATTCATTATTGTAATTTCTTCTTTCATCGACTACCGATACACTTATGGAGAAAAGTTCTAATTTTTTCATATTTTGTGTAATTTTACCATTAGTCATGGTGTCTGTTTTGAAGTTTCATTATTTCATCGTGTCTACAAAGAGCAAGAAGCAGTTAGAAGCGCCATTACAAGTCGACGTTCATTTTTCTAACAGTGTCCCAATCACACATAATCACATTGAAGAAAAACATTCAACGAAATTGATAGTGATCGATTCATTCTAAAATTACCTATTCTACGAGCCTAGGCGACCACGTCACAATACCACTTCATACCATATCACAGACTCATTATTTACAGACCGCCGCCATATAGCTGGAATATTGCTGAGTACGGCGTAAAACTAACTTCACTCACTCCCTCATGCCATATCATGATGCGATAAATCTGAAAAATCTATTTTTGCCACGTGAGCGGGCATTTCATTGTTAACTTCCTGAGGAAAGTTGATCTGTATCATAAATTGTAACTATGTAATGTGAATGACGAATTGTTAGCTTTTGAGTTTGGTGCTATGACATTTTCTCTTTGCAAATAGTGATGTAATGAATATATGTTTTGAACAAAACTCATTTGGACTTTGCACTTGGGGATGTTTATGAATGCAGACCTGATCTTGTCACTATATGGCTGGAATAATGCCGACGTAACGTAAAGCTCAACTCAACTCAACAACTCCTACCATATCAGCCGTACAACAACCCGTAGAAAAATAGGTCTGTGCCAATAGATCTATGTGTGTCAAAAGCATGTGTATTTTGAATGCACCAACGCTTCATGGTCACCACCCACCGTAGTCGTATTGATGACTCAGCAACATGCAATTTATGGATATATGTATTCATGTGACATTCGGGATTCATGACAGTTTCAGGTATATTTGATCTTTAAAACCAGCCTGTTCGTGTTTCATGTCCAGCAACATTATGTTAAGTCAAGCCACATGTGTATGCTGTATTCTCCGTCCGTTCCAGAATGCATGACCGGCTATTACACGGACAGAGGAAACTGTGTACAGTGTGGAACAGGTTGTAAGCAGGAGACTTGTGAGCCTGACACCGGGAACTGTACTTGTAAAGCTGGGTGGACAGGGCCCAGATGTGCCACACGTGCGTTTTAGCCATTATACATCACTGTTGTCTTATATTCTATCATCTTGTGTGAGGTCTGATTTTAACAGCCAATGCACAGGGGTTCTGTGTGTGTCTGTGTTCGTACGCGCATGCATGTGTTTTTATGTGCGTCTGTGCGTGTATTAATATATGTACCATCAGTATATACAATCAGTTGTATGTTGTTTATCACTGGCTTGTCTGGTGCAGACTCGATTATTTACATACCGCCGGCATATAGCTGGACTATTGCTGGGTGCAGCGTTAAACAACCAACCAACCACAGAGAGTTTGCCATAAACATGATGTGTTCGTGAATTCTATACTAAATGCTTGTCCTGCCTTTCTTGTGTACAGCCGTTAGACATGTAGCCAGACGGTTGTGTTCAGAGTTGGAATGATAGTATCAATCATAAACAGTGCGATGTTTTCAGTATATCTGTCTCCCTGTTTACCACAGACATTTCATCATTTCTCGAATGTGTGTTTGCCTAATAGGATCAATTTCTATAAGGGTTTTGTGCCACCTTCAGGTAAAACCTGTGTATGTTGATTACTATTATCGGAAAAGATTATTTTAATTAAAACTATATCTTAAATGTAACTTACTTTAATGCATATTAGGGTGCCCTTGTAGTTTAACTCTGATCGTCACGGGGGAGACCCGGATGCAGCTCCATCGTTCTACAATTGAGTAATTGATTCTAATGCACTGAATTGGAGTTGTCGGGAATAAAATTTGGCTTTCTGACTCATGATTTGCCCACATAAAACAAGGGTTCAGACCCAGATGACCTATATGAGCGCCAATCGTGTTGCCAGAAAAACCCTGTCACATGTGTTGACTGAGTAGTATTAATCATATTCTTGCACTATTGGTGACATAATGTATTTCAAATAGGCATGGTTGTTATGATGTCATCGAACATCCTATTTACTAAAAACAAAATCTTCCATCTGTATCCTGGAGTGTATCCATCCTGTTGTTGACACAGTGTCCTATCGGCTACTATGGTGCCAATTGTTCTTCGACATGTGTGTTTTATGTTCGTGTGATCCGGAAAGTGTGTACGAAGTGGACAGGCATACTGTAAACATGGTCGGACGCACTCGTTTTCTTACAGGTGTAACAGTAACTAATCACAGTTACAACTGAGACGAGATTTTAGCCCAATTCGATAAAATAAGAAGTTGGGTTGTTTTATGTTTTGACTATTGTTTTAGATCAGTCGGTAAACAACCTATGTACCAAAATCAAAATCTTCAGTCTGTGTCCTAAAGAGTATCTATGTTTGTTAACACAGAGTGTCTTGGCGGCAACTATGGTGCCAACTGTGCTTCGACATGTTCCCCTGGATGTGTTTCATCTCCGTGTGATCGGGAAACCGGAAGGTGCTCGCAAAGTAGACAAGGTTACTGTAAACCTGGCTGGGCGCTCGGGTCTTATTACAGGTGTGACAGTAAGTAATCACAGTTACAACTGAAACAGTATTTCTGATAAGATAACCATTGCATGTAGACATTTGTGTAACCAACCCTTTTGTGGAGACCGTTTTCGTATTTTCAGACGGCTGTATCAGTTGAGTTTAGTGTATGATTATCCAAATGACAATGTTTCTATTGGCGTTCTTTATGTTTGTCATGAGTATGTTAAATGGGAAGATTTGTCCACTAGAATGTTATGTTAAGTGGTTGCCATTATGAAGACAGTACACCAAACAGATCTTTCTTGTCGGACCAGGAAGATCACCTCCTGGGATAATTAATGTTCAAAGCATGGACACGTACGACGCATTGCCCAAGAAGTGGAAAGTTCTCTCAAACTGCAAGTAAACTGTTTCATCATTCGATCCTCACTCATCATCTATGGACAGTATCGGTATATGCAGTTGGAATGCGCGATGTTCATCATGCCAGCATTTAGTGGACGATACTGTTGCCGTGATTAGGAAAGTTGCATCCAGGAGGACAAAGGACAGCGACTCTAAACATAAATCCGAAGAGTTCAGGGCGATCTGCAATGAAGGCTCGACGATTTACTTAACGCTCCTTCCGACTCGTACCTTAGCGACAACTTACGACGCTTGTTTTGACGCCTCGTGTCTCCAAAGATCAGCCGAACCAAATACTCGCTGTTGCTACGCATTCTCGGCCATTCATTCCTCCTCCTTTTGTCCGTCTACAGTCCTTCCAGCCTCCCAAGGCCCAGGGAAGATCCGAGTTCTTCAGTAACGGAAGAGTTGACTAAGGTTTAGGCTTGAAACTTTGTCATCATATCCCAATTGCCACCATACAGCTGGAATATTTATACGTGCGGCGCTAAACAACATACGAACAAAAACTCCAGTCTTCTAAGACACTCAATCGTCCTTCCCTTGTTGGATTTCGCTCTGGAGAATGTTCAACAGCCCACTACTCGTTAACATTCAAGCTCTCCTTCTGTGAGTTGCCATCTCCTTCTCCTCGTTAGGAGTCGCTTAACCACCCTCAGATGATGTGTCGACGCTGGGTAGAGTTCAGGGTAATCTTGAGAGAACTGGCACGTTGAACATGCTGCCATGGATAGCCAACAAGCTGCAACTATCTATGGTCAGATCTGGATTCTTCCTTCTTCATCAAGGATCGGGATCTCCTGTCACACTACCGCCCCGTCCGGACATCGGTCAACTGACTGCCTTCTCAGATACAGGATTTAAGGGATTTTGGGAGTTCGATATAGCATATTTTCTTTGAAGTTCTCTATAAATGTATCCAGACAGAATGGCATTCGGCACATTTGTCTCCTGTTTTACCACAGGCAATTCATTATTTTGAGGAGATATGTGTGGCTATAAAGACTAATTTATATACGGGGTTTTGTGTCACCTTTAGGTAAACCGGTGAAAGTTCATTATGATTACCGGAAATGTTTAATTTCATTAATGAGAACTATATTTCATATGTTAATTGGGTATTAGGGTACCCTTCTAGTTAGAACCTTGGTAAGAACAGCCTTTGAACTATCATTTGTTTGTTGTTCGCGTGTTTTCCAGCTCACACAATCTGTGCTCAACTGTTGTCGCTTCACGTCATGTTACCGAATAATAAGAGCCACGTCATACCAGGAGTGTTGTTATTTATTAGCCGACAGTAGCTTTATTATAGCATTCATTATTGTAATTTCTTCTTTCATCGACTACCGATACACTTATGGAGAAAAATTCTAATTTTTTCATATTTTGTGTAATTTTACCATTAGTCATGGTGTCTGTTTTGAAGTTTCATTATTTCATCGTGTCTACAAAGAGCAAGAAGCAGTTAGAAGCGCCATTACAAGTCGACGTTCATTTTTCTAACAGTGTCCCAATCACACATAATCACATTGAAGAAAAACAT